TAGGAGACGGGCTCAGGCAGCCAGCTCCAGCCCCAGGAGAGATCCAGCCAGGGAAGGGGGGCCGGCAGGGATGGAAATGACCACTCGCTGCCTGGCGGACACCCTCTGGTCGCCACACCTCCGGGAGGTCACTTATTGGCAGTTAAAAATCTACTGTGACTTGTCAGAAAAATGAATAAATGGGCACATTATTTTTTCATTCCAGACCTCAGCATCTGTTTGTCTAATCAGGAAGGAGAGTGGGGAAGTCCGCCAGGGCTGCCGCGCATGTTTATGCAAGTTTTGCTCTGTCAGAGGAGTTTAAATGGGTAATGAACAGGCCGAGGTGATTTGAAATATAATCCCATTATGCTGACGAGATTACCAGGCTTCAAGACTTCACGAATCACTCTTAGGGCTTTTATTGAGAACACCGAACATCACCCTGTCGGGATTTTGCATTTAGGCAGAGGTGTTTGGTGGGAACACAACGCAGCAGGTTTAACCCTTTCCTTCTCCCCGATGCGTTCTGAATAGGGGTCCTCTGAAAGGGGCTTCCTAGGGACCTTGAGAATCCAGGGTGTTTGGGCCCCGTGGGCCAAGACAGAGGCCCAGAGAGGCTGGGGGATGACTGGGTGGGGTGGGAGGCCAGAGAGGGGGACCCTGGGCCAGCTCCACCTCTTTCCAACAGCAGGGCCTCAGTTTCCTCATCTGTAAAACAGGAATTAGGTGGGCATGAGAATGATGGAGAAAACAGTTAATTCATGACTAACATGCTGTGCTTAATAGCAGGTGGGAGGCAGGCACTGATGAAAGAACAGAAAGTCCTAAAGTGCTCCAGTTTGTCATGGGGGCGTGTGTCACTGAGGCCACACGCAGCAGCGTTTTCAGGGCAGGCAGATGGGTTTCATTTGACTGTGCACCAGAACACGTATGCTGCACACCAACCCGATGGCTTCATGGCTGTTCTTGCTTAGAATGGTTAAGGCAGAGAATCATAGATGAGGTGCCACCTCAGGGGGGGCCTGTGAACGGTGACATTGTGGAGCATGGAGTCACCTCTTGGTGGCAGACATTACAACTGTTTCCAAAATATCTGTGCCCTTCAACGCCCAGGTGGTGGTGCTGCCCTGTCCTCTTGGAGTAGGCGGCACCGTGTGGTGGGTTCTGGCTGATGGAGTCTGTATGGAAGCGAGAGTTGCCTGTGTCTCTTCCCAGCCTTAGCATTTTGCCATTGCTGCCCCGTCCTCTGGCCCTCCTGCCCTGGTCCCAGCCTTTGTGGTAGTCCCCAGAGGTGGTGGGGAACCGCAGCGGACTTCGTGTGGAGGGAGTGAGCTTCTGTTCTCTGACACCCCAGGTGTGGCCAGGCCTGGCCAGGAACTTCACCCTGCCCTCACCATGCCCCTCCGAAGGAGCAGGTACTGTCTTCCTTTAACAGAATAAACTGAGGCTGAGGGAAATAGAGTAGCTTATCCAAAGACACACCCACTGGGAGACAGCGCTGGTGCCCCATCCTCCTAGCATTGTCTTAACGACCCATCTTTTTTCTTTTCAGACAGAGTCTCACTCTATTGCCCAGGCTGGAGTTGCAGTGCTGCGATCTTGGCTCACTGCAACTTCCACTACCTGGGTTCAAGCGATTCTCCTGCCTCAAACTCCCGAGTAGCTGGGACTACAGGCACACACCACTACTCCCAGCTGATTTTTGTATTTTAGTAGAGACGAGATTTTCCTGCATTGCCCAGGCTGGTCGCAAACTCCTGAGCTCAGGCAATCCACCCACCTCGGCCTCCCAAAGTGCCTACGGGCGTGAGCCGCTGTGTTCGGCCTAACGACCCACCTTGACACCGGAGTCTTGGAGCTTCAGGAAGGGAAGGGGTTTGTTCAAGTCAGAGGGTGTGCAGCGCGTCCATGCAGAAGCTGGGAAGGGCCCTCTCCAGCAGGTGGGTAAGGGTCCTACGTGAGAGTCCCCAGCCCTGACCAGCTGCTGTGCCTCGCACCTCAGGCCTTTGCCCACTGCCCTCTCCTGCCTCCCTGGCACCTCCCAGGCTGCTTGCCTGCAGTTCACAGTGGTGTGGCTGGAGGGCCCCTCGCCCCTACCTCTTGGCCTGTCTTGATGACCGGGTTTGGTCTTTGCTCGCCTCCATCCCGACGTTCTGCATTCCCTGATCTGGGGAAGTGGGAGCCCTAAGAAGCAGCTGGCAGGTGTTGAGGGACATGCAGGGGGTGGGGACCACTCCCAGTCTTTTAATCCATGCAGAGGAGGGAGAGAGACGTCCCTGTGGTCCCAACACAGCTGAGGGGCATCTGGGGCACGGAGCACTCTGGTCCTGGGGGCCCGGATAGGAAGCGTCTGGAGGCAGCTGCTGGCTCAGAGCCAGGGACAGGCATGCCCAATGCAGAGGCTGGTGAGGCAGTGCTATCAGCTGGGCCTGGGCCTCAGAGGTGGGGGCGAGTATGGCCCAAAGCAGGCAGGGCCTACTAAGGATGATCACACTGGCCAACAAAGGACAGTGCTGAGCTGAGCAGTAGTGAGCGCTCCACTGCCAGAGGTACAGCACAGGCAGAGGCTGAAGACTCTGGGCTGGAAGTTTCCCTCCAGCTCCAGGGGATGAGGCTGGGCTGCACGAGCTCACAGAGTTCTCGGCTCTTAAGATCCTCCCTCAGAAGCAGAGAAGCTCTGGCAAAGTTCGGCAAACAGAAACCACTGGGATAAGGCTGGGCTCCCACGATTCTGAGACACCTAGGACACGCTTAGAAGGGCCTGCGGGGTCCTCTAATCCAGCATCTCCATTTTCAGGTCAGGAAACTGAGGGTCCAAGAGGCAGCTTGAGCCACATGGCTGCCACCCGTGGAGGGCAGAACCCACTGGTTAAGTCAGGGCTACCGTGTCTGCCAGCCATTCATGGAGAGTCCAGGGCCAGTGCGGTGGCCCTCCCAGTTCCCGTGTCCTGACCCTGAAATGGAGGTGGTGACGGGCCTGCCGTGCAGGTTTCGTTACTACATGTTTATAGGGGGCAGTGCACAGTGGGCCCTTGCAAGAGGAGGGTGGCTCCCAGGGGCCAGAAGAGGCCAGGGCTACTGGGACCCAATGCCCAGGCCTGCCAGGCAGTCCACAGCTTGGAAGTCCTCCACTGAGTTCAGAGGCCCAGTTGAGAATGATTATCAACACTGTGACTTTTCACATCACCTTGGGCAGGGGCCGCACCAGGGCCAGGCCCGGAGACCTGGAGGAAAGTAGAAGTGGGGCTCATCAGTCACCTCATTACCTGGGGCGTGCCACTCCTCTTGCCTTGCCTAGCCCATCCCGGCCTGGGGAGGGTGTGAGATGCATGTGTCCTAGAGCTCACGGTCCTGTCTTTAGAGACCTAGGGATGGGGTTAGGGAGCGGGGCTGAGGAAAAGTTGAATGCTGAGTCTTAATCTGAGATGGCCCTGAGCGGTGGCCGCAGTGTTCTCATTCCATTGTTCCCTAACCAGGACCTACATGTTTTATGTAAACTGAAAGTGCTGCATTTCACAGTCAGAGAAGGGAGTTGAATTTGTAGCGGAAAGAGGTGATGGTTTTGGTGTCACCCCTCAGGGAGGAGGGCAAGCCTGTTGTGCTTAGCACCAAAGAGGCCCTGGTGCATTTCAGAGATGTTGCTTCCTCGTCAACTGTCAGCAAATGCCACCAGCCAGGAGGGTGATGGCAGAGTCCTGTTTTTCAGCACGACATACTCCAGACTTCAGGAACTCAACTCCATACGCACACACCACTAGGTCTCTGCTCCTAACTTTTAGTAAGACACTCCTCTCACAGCAAAGGCACTCATTTAAACAAATGGCATAAAGATATTGCCTAAGACCTCAACACTTCTGAGAAATCAAACCATAGCTTTTCCAACCTGCCTGTTCAATATGAGAACAGATTTTAAAGACAATAACGTATCAATACCAAAACCGGGTATTTATATGACTTTTATTTGAATATCATTTTAATATTGAATATGTCACAAGATTTAATGACCAAATTAGTCATTTACATTTTTCCAAGATATCTAAATATAAAATTGCTAAAAATTCAAATACAGATAGCAAGCTACAAATATTTCTTTTGTTTCGGGGGGTGGTGGGAATGGAAGACATTAGAAAAGGATGGTCCTGTTGGCTGAACGAAGATCAGAATGAAAGAGGAATTCACTAAAATGACCTCTGTGCAAAGAAATGCACTCAGCTTTGAGACGCTGTGCTAGACACATCTCTTCCTGTACGACAATTTAAAAAATGTTTCTAATGCAGGCCCTCAGCCCTGGCCGGGGACAGTAAGAAAGGACGTCACCGCGGGAGGGACACTGAAGAGGCTGTCGAGGACTGCAGAGGCATCTGTGTGGCCAGAGGCGGTGTCAGGGGCATCTGATCCCTTGCCTGTTCCCACCCAGGGAGCTGGATGGCATGGACACAGGTCTCCCTCCGCTCACCCCTCTCCCTGAAACTGAGAAACAGCAGCTTTCCGCCTGCTCAAACAAGGAGGCAGGCACTGGAAGGAGAAGAGGAAAGGGCAAGGCGGCCCCTTCCAAGGCAGCGAAGCAGAGAGGATTCCAATTCTGGGAAAGTCCATATGCAGGTGGATCGGCTAAAACCTACACTTGCTACTTAAGAAAACAGAAAGACCACCTCTGGCTGGGAGTGCAGCGTGCCTGAGGACGAGCTGTCGCCCCCTCCTCCCAGCCCCTCACACTGTCCACGCCGCTCCGTGGCTCTGAGGTCAGAAGCTGGGGCGTGCTGAAGGGGAAAGTGACACAGCCTTGGACACACCACTAGGTCTCTGCTCCTAACTTTTAGTAAGATGCTACCCTCAAAGCAAATCCACTCATTTAAACAAATGGCATAGTTAAAACTATTGACTAAGACCTAAACATTTCTTCTGAGAAATCGAACCATAGCTTTTCCAATCTGTCTGTTCAATATGGAAACAGATTTTAAAGAGAATAACATAATCAATCCTCTGCCCCAAAGAATGGTCCATCATATCAACTGTGATAAAGAGTACATCTGTTTATTAAAATGAAAAACAGAAATGTACATTTTTGTTCTTTGTTTGCTTTAAGAAATTTGATCAAGTTGCAAGGAAATGCCTGGGCACGGCTCTGTACATCCTCGGGCAGGGTGGCAGGCAGTGAAGATGGCTGCGCGGCATGTGGCTCCTCCAGGGGGTGGTCTTGCCCCCAGGCGTCACTAATCAAAGCCACTGCCAAGCAGGCTTCGGTCCATGGCAATGTCCCCAGTGCTTCCTCCTAGAGGGCCCCGACACCTTCCCCAAGGGCCCACCTGCCCAGTGCCAGTGAGCCAGGGGCTGGCCTCCCCCCGAGGACTTCAGGACACCAGGTGGGCTCTAGGGCACTTGGCCCTGGCAGGCAGGCTCTGAGCTATGGAACAGATTGAGGCTGGAGGCCAGTGTCACTGCTGCCCGGATTTCTTCTCCTTCTGGAAGCTGAAGCTCGTACGTCTGTTCAGTTTTCTTTGTTTTTGAGCAAAGTAGTCAGCCCGGGCAGTGCTTGCTCGCGATTCCAGGATGTAGTTAACCTAGAAGCAAGAGCACACAGCCTGGTTACCTCGCCAGCCGCTCCCTACTCACCCAGGGCATAGGAGGGCATGGCTGGGATCACCCTGACCTGGGCTGGGTGCCTCGGGGCCAGGTGCTGTCATGTGGAAGGAGTCCAGTCATCACAGCAACCTGTGATGCAGGCGGCTGGGCCCAGAACCGCCACTCTACGATGGGAAAGCAGAGGCTTGGAGAAGCCAAGTAGCCTGTCCAGCGGGTGAGCAGCAAGCTCTTCAGGTTCCAAAGCTCCTGCTACCTCCTGGCATGAGCCGCTCCCAGAGGGCTGTGTCCCGGCCGCATGGCTCTGCCTCTCACCTGCTGTGTGACCTGGACATGTGCATAACCTCTCCTAGCCTGCAGTTCACTGTGTGAAGGCCCGGAACAGCACAGGGATAAAAAGGAAATCCCGACAGGCTCTCCATCCAGTCTCCACCGGCCAGGCTTGGAGCTTCCACTCTTCTACTCCAGTGCTTCCTCTGGGCCTCATGAGCACCCTTCCAGGCAGGGCTCATTTCACAAAAAGGAAAGAGGCTCAGAGAGGGAGGCCGAAGTGGCTGTGACCCAGAAGTCATGGTCAGAGCTGTGAGAGGGGCTGAGAGCTGTATGTGAAGAGCGGGGCTGCCTCCTGGCTCCTCTCAGGCCTTTTGCATGTTGCTGCTTCCACAAAGCCCCGGGGTCTGCCCAGAGCCACAAGCACATCTCCCACTCTTAAGGCGGCTGCACAGCTTGGTACTTCGCTAGCACTGCAGCCCTGAGCTTTGGTCCAGGCCCTGAGGAGCTCGCTGCCTGGTGAATGAGTGTCCAGCACCAAGGAACGGGGCTGACTATCAGGGAGGTGTGGAGCAGGGAAGGCTTCTGGAGGGAATGAGTAAACTGGGTTTTGAGGGATAGGAGTTTCTGAGTGCACAACAGGGAGGTGAGAAGCAGTGTGCATCAAGGCACAGCAGGAGCACACCGAAAGGAGTGTGTCTGTGCCTGGGTGGGGGTGGGGGTGGGGGTGGCGGCGGCGGCAGCAGCGTAAAGTCATTGGTGGCAACTGGCACTGATCTTCACAATAACCTTGAGATAGATGCCACTGTCATTCCCATGCACAGGTGAGGAAGTCAAGGCCAAGGACAATGATGTCATTTAGTCAGGGTCACAAAGCTACAAGGTGTCAGGCACTTGACAAGCGCCCCCTCCTGCTCCGCAGCCCCTCGCCTCCTCTGGCTGTCCCCACCGCCCTCTGGCTGGGGCTTTGGTGAACAGACCTATTTCTCTTCACCTGCAAATACCTAAAAGTTATGACTAGAAGGCTGAATATTTCTGATGAGAGAGGCCAGCCACCGCCTCTGCTGATTCTACTGAGGGCCATGTGTCCTGTGCCAGAGGGAGAGGAGCTTCTGCTGACTCCGAGAAGGAACTAGAGCACTTCCTGGGGGAGGCAGTGCGAGATGGTACCGCCTCAGATGGCCGAGGCTGAGACATTGTCCCTCCCAACTTTCTGCTCTGCTGGTCGGAGCAGCAGGCGTTAAAGGCTGGTGTGTGAGTGCAGAAGGCCTGACACGCTCTGCCCGCTGCCTCGCCAACTTACCAGCTGAGAGCAATAAATCATGAGGACCGCAGGGCCAGGTTGACGATTTGGGACAATACAATGTATGGAAATAAGAGGTTTTATCATTCTTAATAAAAGCGATCTTTGGATTATATTGTTTGCACACTCAGCCAACCTCATGTTTTCAGTGTATTTTTGGCACATATAACTTGACAAAAGCATTTAAAATGATCCTTAACAAGCCAACTATTTCCCAAATTTACTATCTTCAGTGCTCTGTGATAATCACATAGATAATTTTAATGGAAGATTAATGTAATAATCAAAAGATAAAAACGCCCTTTGGTCTGCCATTAGCTGGTTAATATGCTGTGGCTTAAAACTTGCACAATTTTATGCACTATAGAGTGTTTCACTTTCAGTGCATTTTACAGCTTAAGGCATAAAAGTATAGGGAGTTTTCATGGTCAATAAAGCCACAGCCTCCATCACTCGATCACGAGAAGAACCTGATTTGAAGAGCCCGACAATTCCTCTGAGATTCATCTCAAAGCCTGTGGAATTAGGGACCACCCATGGACGGCTCTGGAGCTTCTCGGGGCCCGGTTCAAGCAGAGGCTCCACCCTTGTGTGCTCTGTGACCTTAGGCCTCCATCTCCTTGTCTACAAAATGGGGACAGTGTCTATATTCCGGAGGGCGGTTGGGAGGATTAAACGAGACAATGGACAGAAGCTGTACTCCCAGTAATCGGGAGATATTAATATTTCTACAAGGGCAAAGAGCTCGATGGAGGTTTGCTTGCTCATGATTTTTCTTTGACATTGGCTTGTGGCTCTTATTTCCTCCCTTCAATTTCCATCTGAGCTCTCATTTTATGTAAAGTGCTTGAATTCTAGAACAACAGCATGCATTACTGGAGTCTAAACTGACCCCTGAAGAGCTTCTGAAGGCAACAACATTTCTGCCAAGTTCCGGGACACAGGGCTGGGCCTCCGTTGTTTGGTACTGGTGCAAAGCTCACAAAGACACGTTCATGACACTGCAGGAATGGTGGATAAAACTAAGTATTCCAATTGCTCTAAAAATCAGAGATGGGCTGGGCGTAGTGGCTCACATCTGTAATCCCAGCACTTTGGGAGTTCCGAGGTGGGCAGATCACTTCTGGCCAGGAGTTCGAGACCAGCATGGCCAACACGGTGAAACCCTGTCTTACTAAAAATAGAAAAAAATTAGCCAGGTGTGAGCACCTGTAATACCAGCTACTTGGGAGGCTGAGGCAGGAGAATCACCTGAATCTGGGAAGTGGAGGTTGCAGTGTACAGAGATTACGTGACTGCACTCCAGCCTAGGCAACAGAGTGAGACTCTGTTTTCAAAAAAAAAAATCAGAAGTGGGAGAGGTACTATCTAATCTTCCATCAGGATCATGATCATTAGCTCTCTAAGTAAATTGGGACTGGGTATGCTACAACTCTTCCAGAATCTTGTGCATGATGCAATATTTCTACAAATATTTTGATATGGAAACAGACACTTTAGGGAAAGTGACAGACCTCAGGGATTTTGCAGAGAAGCATCTGCTTCGAGGGAGCATTTGGACCTGTAAAATGATTTCTCTGCACTTGATTTTCCAGTCTCATACTGAAGTCATAAACCTGTGTTTCTGTCATCAATCTGCTGTTGTGAAAATTATTTTGATGTCAAACACAGGATTATAATTTTACTAGAATCCTTCTCAAGTCTTGAATATTTTAATGCTGGCTATAAAAAAAAAGTCCAGCCCCTGGTGGAGTAATGGAATATTTCTCTGCCAGGTCCCTGAACACTCTGCACAAGGTGCCTGTGCTGTCTGTGATGCTCCAGTGGGTAACTCGAAGCTCGCTGGCTGCCAGCACTCCCAGACAGGCCCCGTGTCCCCACTCCTTGGCCCAAGGATGGCTCTGCTCAGGGTGGTCTATGAACCCTCTACCTTTTAGTCAGCTAATCATGCTACTCTGTCTCTGCTCCAAACTGTCCTTCCAGCTGCTCTTTTAAATCACCATCTACTGCTTTTGAATATCTTTTGCAGCCATGGGGAACGTGCCTCAATATATTCATGTACCGCAATTCTATTTTGCTGAAATCTCTCACTCAACTTTTAGGTCATACACAACTGGGGAATCAAAACACAAGTCTGAAATCTGTATAATCTGGGGTCAAGTTCTGGTTCTGACAACTTACCGGAGTAATGATCCTGCCTCTGCTACTTTATTCCGGAGCCTCACTTTTCCTCTGGGAAATGGGAACTCCTTTAGCTCGTGACCTTACAGAGTTGTGAAGATGCACTGTGATGGGACACGCAGACCCTCTGGCCCAGGTCCTGCACTGTGCAATCCCTCAGCCTGTCTTTGCTACTTTTGCTATTACTCGATGACTTTGACTCTTAAGAGAATGAATAACTTACATAGGTGTCCCATGTCTCCTCTGACTTGTACTCTAGCAGCCCTGTTGGGGTGGGGTAGCATGGGAACCATGATCCCCACTTTACAGGTGGGGACACTGAGGCCCAGAAAGGTGATGTGACTAGCCTGGTTACACAATTAGGCGTGGGGGAGCCTCCTCTGGTCCTCACCCTTGCTCTACCACAGCAGCTATTTTTCCTGTCTGATCCATCTACATACGATTTGGCTTGAAGAAAGGATTCTCAGCTTGGGAGAGGCTGAGAAACCTAGTCCAGGGCTACTGAGAATGTGGTGCCCAGATAAGCAGCCAAGGCAGCACCTGGCACTTCTTGGAAACGTATGATCTCAAGTCCTATCCAAGACCTCCCAAATCCGAAAGACCCCCAGAGGCTCCCAAGCCAAGCAGAGCTTCTCTCAGCCATACTCCACTCTGGAAGGCCCTGAGTGGCCTAGCTCCACCGGCCCCCAGGCCCTTGTGCCTGCCTTGCCTCAGTGCCTCCAAGGCTGCCTGTCTGTGGTGCTTCCTCTCTCCTTACCTGGTCAACATTTGTGCCTCTTCATTCACCCTTCAGGGTTCAGCTCTCCCTACCTCTATACATCCACCCCAAGTCAGTTTACTGTGACACACCCACACCTTTGAGACGAACAATCTCTTTCTCATTTTCTGTTTTATGCCCATCTCCTCCAATAGAGGAAGAGCTCTCCAGGGACAGGGACAGAGTCTATCACTGTGGCATCGCAGGCCCTGGCCCGGCACACGGAAGGTGCTCGGTAGTACTGTTTAGGTATGGCAACACATCTAGCAGAAAGTTAGGTGTGTTTAGAACAGGTTGCAAAAATCACCTTGAGCATAATTAAGGTGTCTTCAAAACAATAATAATTATCTCAGAGTTTGCTCCAGGAGCTCCAAGGAGCTCCTGACAACAGTTGCAGGAAAATAAACAGTACATAAAAGGAATAAACAGATACAGGAAGAGCCAGGGTTACCAGGGCTGGGAGGAAACTGAAGGCCGTCCTGCTTTGGCTGAAGCAGGTGCAGAGCAGCAGACCTGGGGCTAGTGGGGCCCCTGGCATGGCCACTCACCCCTGGGTGGCTGGCAAGCCATGCAGCTCCTCCTCTGCAAAACTGGGCCTGGGAGCCTTGTACAGAGCTGCAGGGAGTAGGAGGAGCTGCAGGGAGGAGGAGGAGCTGCAGGGAGGAGGAGGGGCTGCAGCCAGGCTGGAAACAGTCCAAACAGAAGCCAGACCCACCTACCCTGTGAGTGGGTTGAGAAGGAACACTCACCTTGAGCACAATTTCATTGACGGTAGCAGCGTCCGATTCAAAGTAGAGGTGTTTATAGTCGTGATTGCTTAGATACGTGAGTTTAAATATTGCGTGACCTGCAGAGAGAGAAAAGCTGTGTTGAAGGGTGAGTTACTTGTGGTGGAGGCCTCCATATGTTCTCCCCATCATTCCAATTCAAGCTAGAGCAAGTGGAGGCTGAGCAGCACCTTGTCTTCCCAGGAGTAGTTCATTTTCTCATTACAGGTGGGCATAAAATGGACAATGAAAAAAACTGTAAGAAGACCCAATAGCCAGTTAGGTCCCATTCTGCTCTGGAATGCATTCAAGGGAATGCCAAGTTAGGAAGGCTTTACAGAACTACTGCTATATGATAATTACATGAAAAAGGTGGCATTTTTAAGGGAGAAGGCTAATTAACTCCACATTATTACTCTAAAACTGTGCTTAAAGGTAGATAAACAAGCAACAGGAAGGAGAAGGGTCAATGGCCACGCTATTATAAGGCTGCACCCCCGCCCCCCAGGCTCCTGCTGGGAGGGGACTCCTGCCTGGAGAGGGGGAATCCTGGTCTTTGACCTTGCTTGGAAGCTGCTCCCAAAGGCCTCAGGTCATCTCCACCCTGGAAGGATGGGGGCAGGGCGGGGGACCATGGAAAGCTGGCACTTCACAAAGTGACCAGAACTTCTGAATACAAATCTGACCTTGGTCCCCATTCTCCATGCCCCTTCCTACCATCTTCAGGATGACACTGTCATTTCTGGGATTGCTTCCTGGTCTAGCCTCATCTCACTCCACTGCCCCAACAGGTCACATGCTGCCACAGCACTGCACACTCCCACCTACCCACACCAGCCTCTGCCCAGGTTCTCCCCCAAGCCTGGGATGTCTCTCTCACTAACCTGGATGGAAAAGACCTGCTGATCCTTGGTGGCTTGGCTCACCTCAGCTAGTGCCTTCCTGGGTGAGTCTTTCTTCATAGCCACACTCCTAGGTGTGCCTGTTCTGTGGGCCTACCACATGGTACCATGGCCCTCCAAAGAAACCTGTTTGACTTATCATGCCTGCAGCCATGGCTACATTATCTGGGCCTGTCCTTTTGTGTCCAGACGGTCAATCAGATTACCTCTTCTAAATGGAGACATAGATGCCGGGTTGTCTAAACTGGTACAAGAGCTGAGAATAAGATGAGGGGCTTTGGGATTCCCAGTCTCAGGCCCATGGGACTGCCCCAGCCTATCGGCACATGTTCTTGGGTTCTAGGAGACTGCTGCCACCTTCCAAGAAAGTCTTCTTTCTCTTTAAGCTACTGAAGTTGGTTTCCATTACTGGCAAGCAAAGGATCAGTGCTCAAGAGACAGGTAGTCAGTACTCAGCAAACCTTCCTAGACCACAGAGCAGCGGGTGACATCTCTAACACAGAGGCCCCCTGCAAGATGCCCAGAAATGACCTTCCCTAGTCTTTCGACAGATCTTCGTGCCTGTAAGATTAAAATTCAGCATATCCTTTCTATTAGTCCTCTCATCTGTTTTCCTTTTAATTGAAGCAGCGGCCGGTCACAGTTATTAATTAATAATATATCACCCATATTACTGTAAGTTCACTTCTTTCCCGGAGAAATCTTCTTGGGGACTTTATTTACAGTAGCTAATTTTTCAGATCTCCAAAAATAAACTGATATATGTTGTACATTTGTGGCCAGAAAAGTTGAGCCACTGGTATTTTATCCTGGAAACCTCGTTATGATGTACTAATTGTGACTATAAATCCTAAATTGAAAAAATTACCTAATAATTTCTGAAAAGCCTCACTTTCAGACACTTGACAAATTTAGCCTGATTCTAAATCACGGTATTAAAATGTTAGAATTCCTGACTGGAAGCTAATCACTCTGTTAACATATAAATTACGTGTTTCTAATAAGGTAGTGGACCTTACATGGGTGCGTCTGTGTATATTCACATTCACAGGATCTACCCAGGACATCAGAGTCTTGTCGGTGACATCCCTATGTGGAAGAACAATGCAGACACCTTGCCTGGCCATGCTGTGGCCAAGCAGAGCCATCTACAAAGGACACAGGGCTGTGAAGGACAAAGAGATACCCCCTCCAGGAGGCCTTCCTGCTGACACCTGGTCATGACAGACACAGATACCAAGGCCTGGGGCTGGAAAGAACCAGAAGGTCTTAGGGAGACCTGCAGACCCAAAGCTTCGGGGTTCACTGACCACTCTGATAAGACAGCTCATGGACTGTCCACACCACCTGCTCCTGCTTGTCACTGACAAAATCAAACCAAACTTCAAAGCGCTACAGCATGTTTTGCCTGAACAACTGAGACACTGTTAAACAGATTTCCTGTGATTTAGGCAGAGCCCAACATGTACACAGCACATGCAATATGCAGTCTGTATGGCCTAGGAGCCTCAGAAAGGAAGCTTTGATGCTGTCCCCTTGGGACTATGGCATCTATGAAGCTTGTCAATTGTGGGCTGACAGAGGGGAGGCCTGTGGTTCATCTGCACAGTCACATGAAAACAAACAAAAATATCATCCCAAGCCAAGTCTTCTGAAAGGCTGCATATTTGAGCCAAGTGACCCCAAATCTCCTGTCCTTGGAATTTTGACTTTATTTTGTTGCACATGGAGGCTGTGTGTCTCCTGGGCTCACCCAGCACCCATCTGAGGAAGAGCGAAGCAGGGGAGGAGGAAGAAGCGTCCTGCCATTCCTCCACTCTCCTTTAAGCCTCCAGTCTATTTGTCCTTTCCAGTGAAAGCACTCACATCATGGGGAGAGGGGAACAGAGGGCGGAAAATGTTCAGTGGAGCACTTGTGCTTAGACTTGAACAATTACAGGGTTGTGGAAGTTAAATCAGTGGGCCGAGGCATGGTGGACAGCCACAGCTGATAGCCCCCTTTTGCTCTTGGCGAGGAGTGATAAGCAGAACCCTGGGGGGCAAGTGCAGGTTAAGATCAGCAGCCATGCTGGGCTATAGGACATGGGGTGAACTCACTCTGCAGGTTTTTCTGCCCTGAGTTCCCCTCACTAGCAGCCCTGTTTTGCTGGGCAGTTTTCCCCAGTCTGGGCTCTGCCTAGGGCAAAGGACACAGAAATGAACACCAAGAGTCAAATATGATGAGCACGAAGAAGGTAAGCATGGGGAGCTGCCATGGAGATGCCAAGGAACAGGCACCTGGCCGGGGTGGCGAAGAGCCACCAGGGACAGTTTCTTGGGAGGAGCTGGCACCTGGGCAGTTTTAGAGAAAGGAAGGAGTCAGCTGGGTAAAGGTGAGGGTGGAGAAGGGTGGAAAAGAGGAAGATGCCAAAGGGCAAGGATACTGCATGGGCAAACATACAGGGTCTCCATGGGAGCTCTGGGCAGATCAAGGCAGAGGGGAGAGAGAGGGGCAGGCACAAAGGGGTGAGAGTGCCTGGAGTCACCAGCTGATGGGGGCCACTAGCGGGCTTTAAGCAGGGCAAGTGAAAGAAATGGTCAAATTGTGTTTTAGGGTGTTCCCCCTGGTTCCCTGGAGCCTGGAGGTGAGGTAACCAGTTGCCATAGTCAGCCAGAAAGGAGTGAGTGCAGTTTTGAGCTACACAGGTGCACAAAGGATGCTGAAAAGGAATGGAGATGAGAACTACAGAGAAGACAATGTTGGCAGGACGGGGAAACTCTTTCACAACAGGATAGCTAATAATCAGAAGCCACACTTTCATAATTTCACCTAGACTAAGACCTGCATATTAAAGTATAAAAAGTTCACTGACATCTTGCTGGAAACCAATCTGCCAATAAACATGAGTAATTTATGCTACATGGTAAATTTCCACCATGGGTGTCTGGGAAGAAGAAACTGCCCACACTAAACACTGAGTGAACAGCAGAATGCCTGTTACCAGATACCATCAGCCTCAGACATCTCACAGCTCACCTAAGGTAGAAGAGGGGGCCAACGACCTCCTCAGCTGCAGCCACCAGGCATCTGTCCTGGGGCATTAGAAGGAATCAGAAGTGGGCAAGTTACCCTTGAAAATTCCAAGACCATCAGCAGTTTTCACAGAATGGGTTAAGTCATAGGAGCAAGCTGCCTTTGTAAAAAAAATAGCTGAGAGGCTTGGGTGGAGTGGCTCAAGCCTGTAATCCCAGCACTATGGGAGGCCAATATGGATGGATCACCTGAAGTCAGGAGTTTGAGACCAGCCTGGTCAACACTGTGAAACCCTGTCTCTACTAAAAATACAAAAATTAGCTGGGCATGGTGGCGCATGCCTGCAATCCCAGCTACTCAGGAGGCTGAGACAGGAAAACCACTTGAACCCAGGAGATGGGAGGTTGCAGTGCAGCCTGGGCGACAGAGTGAGACTCCGTCTCAAAAAAAAATCAGCTGAGAACAAGTTAGATATTAGTATGATTAAAAAAATGCAAAGTTTAATATTCCAATTAGCTCTAATTATTTTGCATTAATTGTTGAATTCTATTTAAATTAAGGTTTAACAAAAGCCTGAGACACAGAGGAAAAAAAGCACAAGCCCTGAAGTTAGAATGAAACCCTAGCTCTGCCATGTTTCAGTGGTGGGAACTTGGCAAGGCACTGCCCCTTCCCAGGTTTGCCTGGCCGTAAAGGAGGAAACAGCATCTGTCAGTCACCTCCTATACGTCACATGCATCCCTGCGTATAGCAGGAACTCAATGGGTAGAGTGGCAATTCATATAACTATGATGGAACTGACATTTGATTACAAAATGCTCATTACTTTGAAGATTTCATTTTTAATTGAATCTCTTTTGAGCATATTTGCTTTTACAGTGCTGTAGAAATAAAATGCAATAAAAGAGGATATAAATGTGGCATCTAAGCACTGGTCACATGCTTAGGGCAGATACTGAAACTGTACCCTGGCTTCTGAGTAATGAAGTGAAAATCTGGATATGTAAAAATGTATTTACATTTATGTAAGTTTTTCAAAGTAAGATAGAGAAGATGGAATATAACACCAAGTAGAAACTAATTAGTGGCACGAATGTCCGAAGTGGAGACGCTGAGCTTTTGTGCTGTAATTTATCTTCTGTTTTATGGATTCTAACTAAAACAG